TCGAGTTGAACGACCATTGTGCTGGAGATTTTGGGGGTTCCAGCTGCTGGAAACTCGGTGTCGGTGACATGGTTTGCGTCTGCTGGAAACTGGACGCTGACAGTGCACCGGAAGACGGTACCGGGCTTGCCGAGCCAGGGCGGAACCCGGATACCTGACTGATGCCGGACGTAATTCTAGACTGGGACGGAGTGGTGTATGGGCTCTCAGGACGAGCCATATGCATCGACGTAATGGAAGTTTCGCGAGAGTGCGGGTATCCCTGTCCTTGGTTGGGAGGTGGGTCAGACCAACGGTCAGAGTGCATGGCTGGCGATTCGAGGAAACTGCTGAAACTCGACGGTGTAAAAGGTTCGGACCTTATCGACGGAGAATTGTTGTACTGCCAAATCTGCTGCTGAATTGGGGGATGCTGTTGTTGGCTGAAGGGGAACGAGTGGGATGGTTGAGTCGGCATGTGTGGACGGTACGGCAGCAGGGGCGACAGAGTCGGGGAGTCTCCAACGTGAGGCCTAAAGGGTGGCGGTACATGCCTCGGCCCCGTCTGTCTTGTCGGGCTGGCTGATGGAGGAGGGGTGGAATAATACGGAAGCGGCACCTTGTCAGACGGGTACCAAGGGCCAGCAGTTTCGTACTGCTGGCCAAACTCGGGTCCTTTGCTTGGCTTTGCCGCGGGCGCAGGGTCATGGGCAATAGTAACCTCATGCTGTTCTTGGTCCACTTTCAACGACCTCATGTCGTCTTCTAGTCCAGTTTCGCCAAGAGTGGGTGATTCCGCTCCGTCCCTGTTGTCTAGTCAGCTAATATGCCCTCGCCAAAATGGCATTGCTGCCATGCAATGATTCCTTGGGCGTAATGTCTTCTGACCTGGTGGGGGTATCACTCCGAGTCAATTGCAGGCAATTGACGAGTGTGCCCAGGAAGGGCTCCAGCACGGGGCCTAAGCCACCGCCTCCTTGTGCCCCCGGCGCGGTCAGGAATCGTATCCTATCAACTTCGGCCATGATATGGTCCCTGATAGAGCTCGCATCGGCCTCGTTGCTGTGGGTCCTGTAGGTAGCTGTCAGCACCTGTTTGGAGGAGAGTGTCACCAAGAGAGTCACGTACAGGTTCACGGCATCAACTGCCAATGCCAAAACTGCCCGAAATGCGTCAAGACTGGCGCGATGGCGTACAATCTCTCCTTTCCCCATTTCCATCCATTGTGAAGCATCCCGACAAAGCGCCAACACAGTGTCGATGTGCGACAGGGTCTCACTGCAGCTCTCCAGTAGCACCAGCACCTGGGCTTGGAGGAGGAGAGGTATGCCGGGCTCGTCCCGCAGCAGCTCGAGGAGCAGGCGCAAGTCGGACAGCTCTCGTGTGACGGCAGCAAGGTCGGAGTGGGCAGCGCGCACGGAGCGTATAAACGACGTGATAATGGCGGACGTGGTGGAGATGTTGGAGAGGGTGTATTCGATTGGGCGAGCGGCCCTCATCGGAGAAATGGGCGACTCCATTGCGGATGGTCCCTTTCGGCCCGATCTCGAGGGGGGCAGGAGGACCTATGGAATGGACAAATCCCGCTGTCGGGTATCGGTAGCAACGAACCCCCCAAAAATGCGCAGAGTCCGGAGGTTACACTCGGCCCCACCCAGTGCCGTGCACTGCCTGTCGTCTTTGTCGATTGACGACAACTCGGGACCCGAGAGTTGTGTGTTTCTCTGGAATGCCCCGCACCCAGGCTCAAGATCTCGGGACGCAACTCCCGGACAGGGGTTGTCGAGGAATCGCAGATGTATTTCCTAGTATCTCAGTGGTGCCCAGCCCTGTGTTGGAGGACCGGAGATATACGTTCGCGTCCGTGGCAAGCATGGAAAGGGAGGAAAGATGTCGGCGATGACTGTGGTGGTAATGGTGGCAAGTGGCGGTTCTGGCGTCGGCGGTGATTGATGGCGACGAGAATTGGCAGGGGGAAGGAGGGGTTCGACGGGGTCCTACCGCTGAGGGCGCTTGTTCTTTATCGTGGCTTCCTTCCCCCTCCACGACTGGCGGACAAAGAGCCCACCTTCCCGCTTCCTGCCATTGGATCCTAGCGGGTAAGCAGCTAAGCTGAAAGGGGCTGAGCCTATGTCGTGGTGGCTGTCGCTCTCTACCCACAAATGCGTGTTGGCGTCCCTGGTCGTGGTGTGGGAGCACAGGCAGCGATTACCAAACTCGACCAAGCGGCTTAGCTTACCTTGCAGCTGCAGGAGAAAATTCAGACATTGCAGCGTCAAGTTGGTTGGCAATGTAGTAATGCCGTGACAGACTGCAGAGGCAGATTCGTCATGAAAGGAAGTCGACCCTTTTTCTGGCCAAGATTAACAATGCTGTGCCTCCAGTCCTGGGGATCCGATTGCTGTTTTGGGATCAAGGCTGAGCTCGTGCCTGGCAAACTTCTTTGAGGTTGGCCCACTGCTCTGGGCCATAGACCGCACCTGGAGTAGCCAAGAAAGGGTTGTTTGTGCCTGACAGCTATCAAATTTGCTTGGACAATACATGTACGTTGTCGTGGTGGTATTCTTTCACATTCAGTTCAGCATATCAGTTGGATGCAGATCAACAAGACCAACTCGAGAGTTCTATGACTTGGGTTTTATGCTCCTATTGTGTCGACGAACCACTCAGGGCGCCAAAATTAACGAAGCAAACTAATTCGAAATTCTAATTAGACTTTCATAACCGTTATTAGTTTGTGGAAGTTTGGTGTCCAAGGCCTGAAGACCGTTCTCCATCATCGCCAGCTCGTTCCATTCTTCCACCTGATCCGCCAATCCACTCGATCGTCTGTCTATGGGGCTTCCTCTAGAATAACCTTGCGTTGACTATTCATGGTCTGGTCGCTCGACCCCTTCTGGGCGTCTTGTGCCACTCTTCCTCTCCAGGCAACGTCCAGGCTCAAGCGGCGGAGTATCTAGCCGAGGAGGCGCAATAACAAGCGACATCAAGTTCACGCATGATTGGCAGTTAAAGGGGTTATACACGCAAAATATTTTGTCGGGAACGGCGTTGGTCGTACACAGAATTAAGGCACGGCCATCCTGTGCGAGGACTTGTTCACACCCTCTCGATCGAGAACATCTCTACTTTACAGTGCTCCATAAGCAATCCAATACGTATGCTTTATCTCTAGCCTTTTTCAAAGCCTCCCATTTATTTCAGCCCTGTCAGTATCTCTCAGACAACAACAGTCGATTATGCTTTACCCTCTCCCCGCAGAATAATCGATTCTAATCCCAGGAGCCAAGAAACGATTATCCGCAGCTGTCACCCTTTCCAATCGAGAAGATTCTGATCTTGTGCGGCGCAGATTCTCCTTAGGCAATTATGCCTCGGCCGCCCTCAGATGCCTTGGCTGCGATGTAGGTGATGACGGCGATCTGCAGCCACAGGATGATCCACCCAGCAGTGACACCGATAATGGCGAGCCCGACCAGTCCTCCAATGAGCATGCCAAGGTGGATGACAACGAAAAGTCCCAGGGCAATATCGAAATGTACACGGCCCTGTTTATATCGTCAGGTTATCAGACTTCCATCATTTGGCCGAGTAACAAGATTCGACGTACCCACGTGATCCCGCAGGTTCGATGGGTTCCCTTGGCCTCGCCGATGACCGCCAGGCACCAGCCAATAATGACGAAGCCAAGTACTCCCAGGGTGAGACCGACAATGATGCTGACAATCTTGCTACCATAGGCGTGGAAAATGATGTTGAGGATCGAGATGATCAGGCGGACAATCAAGATCACCCACATGCTGAGACGGCGCATTAGCTGGGGGGTGTCGGGCGCTACCAGGCTGTAGGCACACAACGTGTCGGAACAGGTATTTCTGATCCTTGACCACTTGCGCGACTTGGATCCGGTGGTGGCGGCACTGGCGCCGCCTGTGCCGGGATAGGTTGCGCTAGACATAGTGATGGAGGTTGTCTATGTACACTGAATTAATCGACCGGCAGGCAGAAGAGAAGAGTGCGGGATTCCGGAGCGGTCTTGAAGTCTCAAATCCGACAGCGTGGCTGTGGTGAAAAGCGTTGTGGGTGAGGGAGGAGAATTTTGTGGAAAGGTTGACGGTTGTTTTCGGCAGCTGCTGGCGAAGTTTGATGTTCGTCGTAGAAGATACCTATGTAGTTCAAAGAGCCTCGTCGATTTGAATGGTAGGTCAGAGTTCGAAAGCAGTGCATCGGAATTAAAACGTCGCGACGTTCGCGCTGATGACTGGTCACACAAACTTTCTCCCTCGATCGAGGTCAAGAAGAAGATGGACAGATGGGCGGTGAAAGAGACCGCGAATGCGTGACGAGTTCCTTACCTTAATTCTCTGACTTCAAGTAAAACGGGAAGTAGCAGTAGGCCTAGACGTACATCCCAAACGTGGTTACATGCCCAGGAAGGACTGCTCCCGTCGGTCACGAAGGGTGAAACCAAGACGTCGAGGTCGAGCGCTGAAGGAAGTCACGGCTAACGCTCTCATACTAACAACAGTTATTCGAACAGGGACGGTCCCGAAAGTGCAACGACGGAAGGGATATCCGCCTGGCGAAGTAGCACATGGTCCGCTGGAAGCCCCACGGTATCTTGGTGCATGTAATCACGAAGCTCGGTGCTGTTGAAGGTGCGAACATGGCCATATGCCACGCCGAGTCGACTCAACGGAAGTATAGACCGTGTAACATGTCGATAGATCCCACAAGTTCATCGCCTCCAATTTTGGGAATTATCATGTGGCGACGGGTTTCGTCTCTTCTCCTTTCCAACCAATATTCGTGCTTGTCTCCAGTCTCGACCCAGTCTGCGATCTACCGCGAGCCATCACAAACATCCATCGGGAGCTGCACAACGGCCGAATGAGACCCACCACGGATCAAATTCTGCCGAAGATCGGAGGATAAATGCAAAATTTCCAGTCAACACTCCACCCCCAGCCCCTCATCTCCAGCTGATCCCCAAACCCAAATCTTCATCACATCAACATAACGGTCGTATGGTGTAGTTGGTTATCACGTCAGTCTAACACTGAAGGTCTCCAGATCGAACCTGGATATGATGAAGTTGCAATTATTTTTTCTCTTGCAGCCCTTGCCACTGTGAGATGAAACATCACTTTTTCCCGATGCCCCTGAATGAGTCTCGAGACGGGGCGAGTCCACCACGCTTGAATGCATAACCCTAACCCTAGATACGGACGGCATGAGCTACCATCTTGACAGAGAGGCGTAGACAAAGAAGAGGCATGAGTGCGATAATAATTGTGGCAGAAACCTTTTAAAACCCATTTAGTGAATTCCTCATTGCAGCTCATCATAATTGGCGAATACCTTGGGGCAGTGGTCGGCTGTGTTTTGGACATGTTTGAGCTTGCTCTTGGTTCCCGGACGCCAAGCCAAGAAAGGGGCGGAATGGCGGAAGTTGACAGCTCGACAATTGGAAAGGGCGTGTCAATGCTGCACAAATGAATCAGCCGAGTTGAGACCACATAATTCTAAGCATAACGGAAGTTCAGACGAAGTGAAACGGTAGCTCCAAAGTCTAAATTTTTCTTGCCTTACCTACCATAACTCGCCCCTCCCGCCAACATCATGATGCATCTGTGGATTATCACCTCTCTACCTCCTTGCACACTTTATCCCTGAACTTGTCTTTGTACGAGATCGAACGATTTGGGAAGATAGTAGAAGATTATTCTCTTTGTGACGGTATTGGCCCGCAAGCAAGCCAGCGATGCATGCCAATTGGGTTCTGTCCGTGGCGCTCACTCTTGCCACGCCATTTCTTTCTCTTTGTGACGCTGCGCCCGTTGGGCCCAAGACAGGCCTAGAACTCACGGAAAGGGTAATCTCATATCTTAACAAGATTCAGGGGAACAATGTTGACCTCGGAACCTCAGAACTACGTGGCGCGCAGAGCCTCGCCGCATCTCGGCAACAGTCCACCGCGCCGAGCGACAGCACCAGTCCTATCGCGCCTAACCAGGCCAGATGGTAAAACCGTTCTTGGAGGCCATGGGATAGTTATGGCCCCTGCGGGAAACGATGTCAACACAGACAGCGGTGACGTCCGTCTCATCACCGTGGGAGGCACCACATTCCAAGTTCTTTCGGGCATTGACCTCACCATCAATGGAGAGCCAGCAGACGGCGAACTTGATGATTCCGGCGGTGCAATGGTCGAAGTGCCTCAAACGCCCTTGAGTCCAGGAAAAGCTGCCGCAATGGCATTTGCAAAAGCTGCTGCGGAGCTCCGAGTCGAAGAAGGAGCACGCATGCGGTCTCGGCGTGGCATCCAACCAGCGTCAAATTCCATGCAGTGCTACACGATATGATGGCATCCTCTCCGGAAATTTAGGACTAGTCGCCCAGAAAGGTGCACACACCAATGACTTTGGTCCAATGAAGACCTGAAGCATTATCAACCACGCCGAAGAAATCACGCCCCGAAACTCCCACAGAAACACCGCCACCCACCCACTCTCCTTCGCCTCAGGCAAACATCCAGAACACCGTCGCATGGAAGCACCATAATTCAAGCTACAAGAGAGACTCACGCTCCCCTTCTTTCAGCCATGCCGTTGAGCTTTTAACTTTCAATACCCTTTCCCGCTCCCGCCAGTTGGCAGCAGATGAAACACCCCATGATCTATCTCGGAGCAACCGGCAGTCAGCCTAGGCTTAATTGAGATCTCAACCCTCGCCCCTCTGATGGAACCCCCATCGCGAATCTCTGGCCCATTGGCTTTCGTGGTGCAGCGGCCTGGCTTGGGCGGCTATGGGGATTTTCGGGCTGGATCAAGGCCTATCTAGCCGCCGCCATGCCCCCTAAACTTGAGCTTGCAAGAGATTTAGCTTGCGCAACGAATACTTTGATAATGCAGTCAGTCTAGCCCTCGCGCTTCGTCCTATTGGAGTGGCAAAGAGTCACGTCGACCTTGGCGGTGCGAGCGCCTTTAATTAGTCATTGATCGCACACCGCGTGCGAGCTAGAAGACGGGCGGTATTTGACGCGTCAGCTGTCGCACCCTGATAAGAGTTACTAAGGCGCCACTTGGAGACAGTCCGATAGTCACACGATTGCATTGTCTAGACAAGAAGACGTCTTTGCTCCCAGCCACGGTGCGTCCGTCTGTCCTCGGAAGCGAGATCCCCCCGTCTGCCAGTATCAGCCCGATACCGACGGAGCACCCCACGGTTTCCAAGACTGTATTCTCCTTCTGGCCTCGCTCATGAAACTTTTTGAGGTCTTTAGGCTCCGGAGTGGACATTAAGATCCTTAGGATGATACCATAGTCCCTTGGGCTTGGGGATCCGTGTCCGCCGTCAATTTAGAGATGGTGGGTCTGAGCCGTGATTTAGACATTTGGGTCATTGGCTGTCAGCAGATGCTGGACGGTCTTTGAGAGCAATAGAAAGGGTAAAACGAAAGGACAAGATTGAATGAGAATGAACGAAAGAACACCGCAAAGACTGTATGATGAAACCAATCAGCATTTTTATTACACCATGAAACAGAAAATGAGGAAGAATAAAAAAGAAAGAAATGGAGAGAAAGAAAAAGCCGATGGGGGAATCGAACACGGCACCTCCTATCAACGGGACCTCTTCCCATCAGAAAGGGATCATGGCCGTTGGTTGGCCGCAGCCAGGGATGCCCGCCTGTACCTACGTATAAGAGATAGGTGACATGCTTGACCCTACACCACTCGACTAGCCGTTAAGCTTTTTGTTGAGACTGTGACCTGAAGATTTGCCTTATCTAGCCGGCGAGCTACACCACGTCCTTGGGTCCGGGTAGTTGGAAGGTATCTATCGTCCAATCTTGTTGTTAGGCCTGTCTGGCACGTGCGACAAAGAAGGGAGAAAGACCTCTGCTGAGCCCGGTATGGCTGTGTAACAACTGTAAAAGGCAAAAGGGGAGACCGGCGGTCACCCAAGCCAATATATCGTCATTGCGTTATCGTTTGCTTCTAAAATACCCCGTCGTAGATGATTCTCAGGAAAACCTACGCCCTTCCTTCCATCCCATTATTCCTCCACAATTCCCAGGTCCAGACAAATTCTAATGAAAGTCTTTTCTTCCTTTCCCCCATACACTAAACAAGTGTCCCTAACCATCACTGAAAACACACCTCGATGCATACCAAGTTACGTTCCAAATAAAAGAAAGATGTAGGCCATTTCATCTTTCTCGTTCACCCGCAAAATGCCCCAGACGCCGCACTGACAAGTATGGAAGGAGTAGAAAAAATCTCGTCAGCGTTGTTCCGCCTGCCCATGATCTCGCCGTAGAGCAGAGCGACAAGGTAGGCACTGACAGTGGCAGTTAGGGGCCCGAACTGGATGAGGGACTCCGTCAATGTTGTCTTCTCACAACTCTGCGAGATTCCGATGATCATGTGAACAGCTAACAGCAGGACGCCGAAAATGTAGCTAGGGGACAAATCAATGCCACGGCTCAGGACTGAAAGGGCGAATGTAAAAAGATACTGACAGTTTTCGCTGATGCCGTCGCTCGGGATCCTGCCAAGTTGGAAGCCGACATACATGCCGTACATGACTGTCCAGACGAAGTAGTTTCTGTATTGGTGAGATGAAAGTGGAATGAGTAAGTCAAATGAGATGGAGCAGTGTGAGTGGGACTCACGCTATCTGAGCAGATGTCTGGATGTTGCTAACGACACGAAGAGGCACCGCGGCCACTGCCGTCCCAGTAGCGACAACACCGCTGCCAATGCGTAGTCCATGTTGGAAGTTGGCGATGCCAAAGGCAGCAGCTGGTGTGGCAAATGCCAGGCCACTTGCAATGAGGGCATATCTACCACGAGTTTGCCTGAGAGAACGGCCACCTTGCCTGTTGGGGTGGTCCGTCAGAAAGGAGGTCAGGCGTGGTTGGGGAGGCCAATGTCTTCCCAAATCTGCACCCCTTTCGCCGATCCAGATCATTTTCTGCATCCCATGGCCATCTTTGTGCGTGAGAGTCTCGGTAGATGCAGTGTTTCCAAAAACTCGACGGGATAGCAAGCAGGGCTCAGGTACCGACTCAAGGGGATGAACGCGGTGATGATGATGATACTTGGTCGGAAGTGGTCGTTGAACTCGGGGCAGGGTCTGGCCACCTACACCTGAAAGCCTTCTGGCATGATTCGGAATTGCAATTGCAAAGTCAAGATCCCCGATGAACCTGATACTGGCGGAATGCTCGGGCGTAAGCAGATGCCGCGTCGCAAATCTGGGGTATTTTCTATCGGGAAAGGTCCACTCTAGCTTGATGAACACATTTCTGCCCTCCGCAAACGAAGCAAAGCGATTCAGATCACCGGAACTGCCCCGGTGGAACAGAGGTATGAGCTCTGCTAGAATGGAATGAATGCCGCTTGCAGCATGGTGTGATGAATTGGCATGAGGCGCAGCCTGGTCTAGCCCGAAGTCAAGGGCGGCACCATGAAATATATTTTCATCTCCGCAGAAGGGTATTCGCCGGACACATATCGTTGTGTGCTCCAATTCCTGGTCGGGGTGATTAGCGGAGCAGCACACCCAACTGTGCGAAGGAGCAACTTACAGCAGACGGATCAGACATCTCTGGCCCGGACGCGAGGGAAACTGGGGTAACCGCTGCGGCGATGAAGGTTTTGAAATTCTCCTGTCAAAATCTGAAGGGTGCACTCAGCACGTAGGTTATTGATTGCCGAAAAACCACGTTAAACCAATGGCCAACGCGACATGAATTTTGTTGGAAGACAGTGATTAGAAAAATTTGATGAGAAGAGTGATAGTGTTAGCGGACCATTTTTCAAGGAACATGTCCGAGATTACCTAGGCAAGTTGGGGACAAAAAAACAGAGACACCAAAGCAGATCCCCAGCTTTTAACCACGTATAATCCTCAAATTGCGGCCTTGAATATTCATACAAAAATGGTACATAAGATGAGATCTACCTTAAGACATATATAGCCTTTTTTTTCAGGGCTCGAATTCGTTGATTTGTATGTTTTTACGCTAGGTTTTAACCAGAGTACTTGCTGTTAAGGTGTTTAGTGTCCCTATTTTTTTGTC